AACTGTTATTCACTGGGCCCTAGCTCACATTTTGGTATACCATGTAGGTGATCCAGCTCAAGAAAAGGCGTAGTGGCGTCGATCTTACTTTAGTTTTGTCGAGCTAACCATTGTACCTAACCACGAGGTTCCCATCTACCTAAGTTTTGATGTGGCCAATGTTCACCCTTTTGTTGTGTGCCCATGTGTTTGGTCAGGAATTGTTGTCCATGGGCGTATCTTTTCTCCCTTTTAATTGTCTTTTTAAACAAACTTGTACTAGCATGTTTTACTTCCACGTGTGTATATGCATATATGTGTAGCAATGTCTTTTGCCCCATGTAAATGCACAGCTCATTGGATGTTTTATTTTCTTGCATATTAAGCTTCCGCTAGCCCCGCTTATTTGCTTTACTCAGTTAGGCATTCGGTAATCACGGATTATTGGCCGGTTACGGCCCTAAACCTGTAGGGGCGGATTTGGGTCGTGACAATTTTAATATATATATATATATATATATATATTAAATTGAGCTTCTGTGAATGAACAGGTTATGGAATTAAGTGGGTAAGTTCTATTCATGGGTAAGTTCATGGTAATTAAATGGGTAAGTTCTATTCATGGAATTTTTGGATAAGAAACATCATTAAATGAATGTAGTTATTCATGGGTAATTTTCAAATGTACTTAACCTTTCACTCAGTAGCATTAAATGGGTAAGTTCTATTCATTTTCACCAAACAGATATTCTATCTTGCTCAATTTCCTTACTCCAGCATTACAGTGGAAATTTTTTAAGAACAAATAAAAATCAAACTTCTTGCATGATATTACATATTGCAATTTTGGCTTACATACAAACCCCTTTCTCCCCATCAATAAGTTAAAACTATTTCTCTTCAACAATGTCAGCAACATTTTGGTTTCACACCAACCAACCTCATCCATGTTCACACAAAAAAGAACTTAAGCAACATAAAAAAAAAACAAGATAAAAAACAGTTTCAGTTGCAATTTCATATGGACAGATGGGCAGCAACACTTTCAGCAACAAATGGGCAGTAAGATGAACAATTTCAGCAACCTTCCAGCAACTACAGCAAGATTCATCACTTTCCAGCAGCAACATACCAGAGCACAATCAAACAAAAAGCTTGACAACGAAAACTTGTGAAAACTCATATAATAATGTGAACATGAAACAGAGGAGGGGAAAACATATAAGTTTCTGTAACACCCTGTATTTTGAGGTATTAATATTTAGTGAGTGGTATTGGTGATTTATTATTTTAATTTAGTGGTGAGATTTTTAGATAAAAATTTAACTTTAAATTATTTATTTGTATTTATCTCATCTCCTTTGTATCTATCATATTGTTATTTAATAAATCAATTTACCATTCCCCCATCATGTGGAAAAAAAAAAAATACAAATACAAATAGAAAGAAGACAAAACTGTGGGCTTTACCCACAGTTTCCTCACTTTCCTGACTTGCCACCAAAACCCACCAATTCCATCATTTAACCTTTTCATTTTTTTAAATTTTTTTTCTTCTTTCATTCCTTCATTTCCTCTATAAATCAGCCGAGTGTGGGAGCTCCTCACAACCATTTCTTCATTCAGTTCTCCCCTTCTCATAAATTATATAGAGTAGAAATATTAAGTTTAGATATGTGAGTGCTTAGAGTGAAAATGAGTATTTTATAAAATAAATAAATAAATTGAGAGTTGTAAATTTTATTAAATCATACATACTTTATGTTTTAGAAGTTTGATCAAAGCTATTTTTGGAGATCCATGGAGCAATTTCAGATTTATGGTGATGGAATTAATCATTTTGAGGTAAATTCGGGTTGTATACAATATGCTCTATTTAAATCTCTTTGTAAAGAGTTCTATATTTTTAATCATCCTCAATTTGTAATCCACTTGATTAATGTGGTTATTAATAGATTTCGTAAAATCGTTTGTTGTTGAATCGTTGATATTCTGATCGTTTGGTAAAATTTTCTACAAATATTTCTGTGTTAAATGGTGATTTGTCTGACTGAATGACATGGAAATACTCCGTACATAGATCGAGTGAATCTTATTAATTGTTTACACTAATATGGCTGGATAAGCGTGGAGCTTGGGTGAGGTGGGTGAATAAATGAATTTATTCACTGGTCATGTACTGAGTAGGACTGAGTGTTTGGTCTATATAAATTATGGTTGATTTGTTGTGCAATTTGGTAAATTGCTTGATTATCGTATCATTGATTTAATGTCATAAATTGTTAGGTTTCTGTTAATTTATTTTGTATCCGAGCCTGGTATTCCTATCGTATTGTATACTTCCCGAATTAATTTATTTTTCAGGTGCGCAACAGATTTTAGTGGAGCTCAAAATTGAGATTAAAAAGATTTATTAATATAGAGATTTGGGACCCACCACTGTAATTATTAAATTTGGAGATAGTTGTAATATTGTTTATTTTGGAGGTAATTAGAATATTTGGATTTGGAGGATATTGTACCATTTGGAGACGATTTTGTAGTTATTATTTTTTTGGAGCAAAACTTGTATTTTTTTTTAAGGCTATCTTAGTGTAATTAACGACCCGGGAGTGAGGTGTCTCAGTTTCTTAATTAATTTACATATAATAATGTGAACTCTCTGTGTCTCTATTTTTTGATTTTGTTTTTGAAAAACACAAGCATTGCATAATAAAAAACACAATCAAAAAACAAAGAGGGAGAGAGAGAGAGAGTTTGTTTGCCTTTGTAAGGAGATGTCGGCCGGTCCCGTTTCAAGAGCTTCTCGCCGTCGTCGGGAGTAGAGAGAGAGAGAGAGAGTCTATTTGCCTTTGTAAGGAGATGTCGGCCAGTCCCGTTTCAAGAGCTTCTTACCGTCGTCGGGAGTGGGTTGCCGGTGAAGGTGGGTGCCGGTAAGGGTGGAGGAGTAGAGGAAAAGGGGGCTGAGTGAGAGTGAGGGATTGTAAAAAAGCTGTATAAGCTGTTGTTGGTTTGGGCAGGAAACCAAATTCAATTTGTTTTCAATTTTTTTTTTTTTTTTTTTAAGCCGTTGGATCTGCAACGGCTGATCTCAGCCGCTGCAAGGAGGAAATGAAGGAGAGGTAGCAATGAGGGAATCCGAACTCGAGTATATGTGTATGAGAAAAAAAGAGGAGAGAAAAAAAATAATTGATTAATGTATACAATATAGGAAGTGATTTTGAAAAAAAAAATTCCAAAGGAAGTAGAATTTCTCAAAAAATAACTCATTACACCTTTAATTACATTTTTTTATTACATTTTTATCCCTATTTAACATTATCAAAATGCCCTCAAATCTAAAAAGGTGAGACACTAATTCTCTTCTTCCATTCACACCCTCCATTTCCACCGGGCATCATCCCTCGCCACAGGCCGCCATCACTCATTTCTTTCCGTCGGTTGTTCGTCGCCACTCCCAAGCTTCTTCTCCAATCACTAGCGCCAACTATCCATCCATCCTCCTTCTTTTTCAAAACCCCAGATCTGAAGATGGAAAACGCAGAAGGTGAGGGGCCACTATGGTGGTGGGTTGTGATGATGACTGTGAAATTATGGTTTGAAATTAATTTGTAAAGAGAAAAAATTGGTGGAAATGAGGGTTGGTTTGGAATTATTTTATAAAAAATGTAGTGAGAAAAATAATATAAAGAGATAAATTAATAGTATAAATAAATTTATTTTTTTTAAAAATCAAACCAAACAAGTTGAATATGTTTGTTTGTGTGTGAAAGAGAGGTACCTAATGACGAAGTATCCATTACGTAAGATTTTCTTATTCATTTATGTGATGCAATGGTATAAATTTGGACTATAAAACTATATTATTAAAATAACAAGATGACAGAAATAACTCATAAATAAATAAAATTTATTTATTAATTTATGTAACGTTATTCGACTCGACTCACGATAAATAAAAAGTCAACCTCAATTTCAATTCCATGGTGAGATGGGCAGTTTGGTACAATTGCCAATTCCAATGTACTTAGGATCTTGAATTTCATTTCCCCAGAAAAATAATAAATAAAAAAGAACCTAGAAATTGCAAAGGGGAGAAAAGTGCCCTCCTAAGCTAAGAAGAGTTGGAAACGAAAGTACCATTTTTGAAACAGCGATGCTAGACATTTTTAATTTGGAGGTTTTAAACACATTTTTAATGAGGTGAAAAAAATAAAAAAAATAAAAAAACAAACACGGCACTGATAGTGACAATGAATAGATTTACTGTCACATCATTAATGGCAGTCGCAAGTATTTTTGTTTCAACAATGATACAGACCACTAAAAGTAACTCTAGTGAGGTGGCATGCATAAAAAAAAATTAAAATAAAAAGAAAAGAGGAAAAAGACAAAACACAAAGAGAAAAAAGACAATTTAATGCTCCTTTAATGCTCTTCTTTTAGTACTCTAAATCATTTTTCTTTTCGTTTTTGGAATCTCACTTTTACATAAACCCCAAACACAACCAGGTCCACATAGGGATGGGCATAGTTGGCTAGAGATACAACTTGGTTTGTATTTTTTAAAAATAAAATTTAGTGTGTTTGGTTTGTGTTTTTTAGATTAAATTTTTTGAAAACTAATTTTTTTGTTTTTCGTATTTTTTTGTTTTTAGTGAATATTTTTAAAATTTTAAATATTTTTTTAGTTTTTTAGATGCACCTTATTTAAATATATCTTAAAAGTAAAAAATTTGTGAAAAAATATTTTAAAAAATTAATAAATACATAAAAATACAAAAAAATTCACTTTCTACATATACGATATACACAAAAAAAATTCTCTATTGAGAGGGTATTTGGGATGATCTAAATAAATATAAAGACATTTACACACAAGTCCTAATTTATGAACTTATACTCTATTAAATTGTAACTAAGATTTTTTAGACGGAAAATGACTCAGAGCTCGAAACTGAGAGGCTCGAAACGGCTCGAATTTTTTTTCCTTTTCAAGCAAAGGAGCTCTGCACAAATAGAGGGAAGAGGAGAGGAGAAAGAGGGAGAGAAGAGAGGAAGAAAAGAAAGAGGAGGAGGCAGCACCACCGCCGCCGATCGTAGCAGCACCACTTTCTCGCCGATCGTCGCAGCACCACCGCCTCACCGATCACAGCTCATCGCAGCACCACCGCCTCCGCCGCTCCTCCACCACTGGTTGAGGCCCCCTTCTGTCCAGTTCTCCCTTCTCCCTTCTCCCTTTCCCCCTTCTTCTTCTTCTTCTTCTTCTTCTCCTCCCTTCTTCTTCTCCTCCCTTCTTCTTCTTCTCCCCTCTTTCGTTTCTGATTGAACAAAAACACAGGAAAAAGAAGAAGAAAAAAAAAAACGATACCAAAACGACGTCGTTTTGGTGTCGAGCCAAATTCGAGCCAAAGAATGATACCAAAACGACGTCGTTTTGGTGTCGAGCCAAATTCGAGCCAAAGAATTTCGAGCTACGTAGCACTGCCGTTTATTAAATGAGTTAGGTTTGAAATTGAACTTTTAAACATGACATCACGCCAAGCTAAGCCTGAACACAAAATTTAAGGTCAAGTTTGGCATGATTGAAAAAAACAAAAAGTCATTATCCTATTTAAGTCACATCATCTTATTTAAGTCACATCACCTCTCTAACACATCACTTCAAACCCAACCCAAACCCAACTCATATTTCATAAAAAGTCAAAAAATGCACTTATTTAGTCTTCTCAAACTAGGCCTAAGTAGAGTTTTGAGAATAAGAATTGTATTTTGAGTTTGTGAGTTTTGAAATTTTGATTTAAGTGTTAAAATTTTGTTTGATGAAAGAGTTTTAAAAAAAGTTTTGAATTGAGTGAAATTTTTTTTGATATGACATGTGATATTTAATACAAAAACTTACAATTTATAACCAAACACACAACTCAAAATTCTATTAAAGTTCATAAAAAAATTTTAAAAAATCAAAAAATATTTTTTTTGAATATATAAAAATTAACATGTGTCAAAAAAAAGAAAAAAATTTGCACTATTCCAGTCAACCGGCCGAACGTTCAGTGAGACGACCGGTTAGGCCAAATTTCAAAAAAAAAAAAAAATTAAAAATCACACCTCACACAGAGTTTTCTAAATGTCATAGAAATATAATTTGAACGTTCTATCCAAACATCGTATTAAAATGTGTAGGTAAAATTATAATTTGAAAATCGTTCCAAACACAATCTTATTTTTTCTTTTTCTTTTTTCTAGCTTCAACCCGACCAAAGGATGCCGACCCCATGATTTAACCAATATGAATAGCTACACATTAAAAATTAATTCATTAATATCTTATACTGAATCACACGATGAACTGATAGAAGTATTCCGCTGTCAAAAACAAATGCCTAATTTTGTAAAAATTATTAACGTGTTGCAAATTAACAATCGATAAAAAAAAATAAAGGAAGAAAAAGTTACATCTTACAACAAATAAGACTCGAACTTACAGAAAATCACCTAACCATAGGTCTTTGTAGGAAGTCCTCAAGCAGCTGCACAACAATGTGAGTGTTTGGAAAGTTATTATTTTAGTAAGTTATTTTAATTTTTAACTATTTTAATAAGTTAATATTTTTATGTTTAAGAAAATGATTGAATTTTTTTATAATTAGATGTGACGTTTATAAGGGGAAAAAAAAAGAGTGCAATAACTATGAATTTAATATAACATTTTATCTTATTAACTATTTTAATTTATTTTATCTTTTTATAAATTTTAACTAAAAAATAACCCAAAACTCACTTGCCAAACAGGGTCAATGAATGAGATGATGAGGATCAAATAAATCCAAACACGAGATATAACCTTTTAACCTCCACCACAAACTTAGATTGTGAGAAAATAAATATCCACAATGTCCATGGCCCCACTAACTTCCCCTTATAGCTCTTAATAAACATTCAAAAAAAAATCTCCCATCATGAACAAGCAGCACATTAAAAACAGAAGAGACTCAACATCAAACCCAAAAGTTAAATTTCAACCACTAGAACAATTAACAGGAACACAATCTCAATACCTCGTTTGATTACCTGTTTACACAATCCAAAATTTCTCTGTTTCAATCTTCCAATGGCTGCTCTTACTTCAGTTACCCCTCACTCATCTTTACATCCGAAATTCCACTTCAACTCTGTTAGTTTGTTTTTAAATTCTACTAATGAAGCCGTTAGATTTTCGAGCCGGAGAGTAAGTTTTCGTGCCGTCCCTTCAGGCTTGACGATTCGGGCAGCGGCAACCAAACCTGCAAAATCACCAGGTATTTTTGCTATGTCAGCTTTAAATGAATTCTAATTGATTAAATTTTCGCTGCCATTTGAAGAATATACACAGTGGCTGATCAGTAAAGCAAAGTGTAAAATCGATCTTAAATGTGCTGAGTTTCTTCTTTCTTTTTGGAGGGATTAGCTGAAGAAGACTGGAAGATTAAGCGCGAGGTTCTATTACAGAAAAAGGTAGAGCTCTCTATCTCTTCGTCCCTCCTAAGAATTAAGTGTTCAATCCCAGTTTTCATTCCCAAGCACGTATACGAGAAAGGGGTTGACTGGTGTTTATCGTAGATAAACTAATATCGAATGTAAGGCAATTCATGTGGAACTACAGATTATACAGTTACTGGATACCATTTGAGATTCATAAATTTATTGATGTTTCATGCTGCATCAAGGTAGAGTACATCACAAAAAAACCAATATCCAGAAATGACTAATCCTAGATAGTTCAACCATCATGAAAGGAGGAGATAAAAGAGTTTCATGAAAAACCCAATACATAGAGTACATCACAAAAAAACCAATATCCAGATATGACTAATCCTAGATAGTTCAACCATCATGAAAGGAGGAGATAAAAGAGTTTCATGAAAAACCCAATACATTATATCACACAATGTTTAAGAGGCCTAAACCTTGGAGTGACCTGATAGCAGTTGATTATAATAACAAAGTATATGGTTACTATTTGCAGGTAAGAAGTGTGGATGTGAAGGAAGCCTTGCGCCTTCAGAAAGAAAATAATTTTGTGATTCTTGATGTACGACCAGAAGCAGAATTCAAAGAGGTAAGTAACCATTACTACCATACTCTACTCAAAATTAGCTACTCTCAAGACACTACTGTATCAAAAGTCACTCATAACCTAGCTTCAACTGTTTTATATCGCCTTCTTCTATCTGATTTTCCCTGTTTCTGCCAATCAAACCCATGTATTGCTAAGTTACTACAAACTTTCTGATGTTTTGGGCCTAGGCTCATCCACCAGGTGCTATTAATGTCCAAATATATAGACTTATAAAGGAGTGGACCGCATGGGATATCGCTAGACGTGCCGCATTTGCATTTTTTGGCATCTTTTCTGGCACAGAAGAAAATCCCGAGTTTATACAAAGTATCATACAGTAATCTTATCTTCTATTCTTTGCCTAGTAGGAATTCAGACAATTCACATCTTGGGATCAACTAATTGTTTGGCATGTGATGATAGGTGTGGAATCAAAAATAGATAAAAGCTCAAAGATAATTGTGGCTTGCGCATCTGGGGGTACGATGAGACCATCACAAAGTCTTCCAGAAGGCCAGCAGTCAAGGTAATTGCCCCATCTTTAAGTTTCCCTGTTTCTTTAATCCTATTGCTTCGTTGACCCAACAACACTGACATATGCATTGTACAATACTTTAAATATGCTAATATGCCACACTGCAAGTGATTTTGGAAAACCAAGACATCCAGACTACCATCAAGAAAGAAATCCAAGTAACCATGAATTAATTATTGGATAAATTACACTTTAGGCTCAACTATTGTCCCATATCACTTTTCCCCCTCGAACTAAAAATTGCAACGGTTAAGGTAGAAGGAATGGTAGCCATAGTAAATGCAGCTATGGAAAGAGAAGAATAAGGTCTTTTTAAACAATTCACAAAATTTGAGATGTCACGTGCAAATCATATGTCAATTTTCCAGTCATTTATGTAATGGATTTTTAACGAAAGGTTTCCTTGACCGCCCGCCGGACCTCAACCTATTCCGCTTGAATTTTCTACACATACCTTGATCACTCTGCATCTCCTCCTCCTCCTCCATCATTGTTCGCCGGATGATTCATGGCTGACGATAAGGAGATCTCTGCCCCAGTTGTTGATGCAAATGATGCAGTCACTGGTCACATAATTTCCACTACTATTGGTGGCAAAAATGGAGAGACAGTGGCGATTAAGAAGGTATTGCAAGACAGACGATACACGAACCAGACAATGCCTCTCATCTATGTGAAACTGTACACTTACCAAATTTTCAGGGGGCTTGCATATATGCACACTGTTCCTGGAGTTTGCCACAGGGATTTGAAGCCTCAGAATGTTCTGGTTGATCCTCTTTCTCACCAGGTCAAGATTTGTGATTTTGGAAGTGCAAAAATGCTAGTGAAGGGTGAAGCAAACATATCAAACATATGCTCACGTTTCTATCGCGCTCCAGAACTCATATTTGGTGCCACAGAATATACAACCTCAATTGATATTTGGTCAGCTGGTTGTGTTCTTGCTGAGCTTCTTTTAGGCCAGCCATTGTTCCCTGGAGAAAGTGCAGTGGACCACCGGATGCCTCCTGAAGCAATTGATCTTGCCTCACGGCTACTGCAATATTCCCCAAGTCTTCGCTGTACTGCACTAGAGGCATGCGCACATCCATTCTTTGATGAGCTTCGAGAACCCAGTGCTCGTCTACCGAATGGTCGCCCATTACCCCCTCTTTTCAACTTTAAGCAGGAGGTATATCTCAATACCCTACTTGTTTTATTTTGTTGCCCTTTTTATTTATCCCTGGGGTGGCTCCAATGCTTAAATGCTGATATTGATAAAAAGTTAGTTGAAAAATTCTTACCAATTGAAAAAAATGAGGCAAAACTGTATGTTTTTAATAATATAAAATCAATATTTCTCATGTGATAAATAAGACACAGATTTCGTACTTATCATTTGTCTGGCAAAAAATGATTAGTTTGAAGTTTTAATTAAGCAGAATTTTCATTCTATACTCCCCAAAAGAGACTTTAACTATTAAATGATGATTAAGTCATCAAGTTATGCAAAACATGACCCCACCTTACCAATTTATTTAACAAATTCAATGGGCAGTGATGACTCCAGTGTGGTCTGAAAGTTTGGGATTGATTAAAAAAACATAATAGAAGAAAAATTGGAAATGTGTTTTTCAAAGTTTCGATATTTTGCTTTAAAGTTTCTGTTATCTGCATAGAATTTTACCAAGGCATGGATGTTAAGCATCCATAATGATGGGATTGTGTCAATTAAAATAGTGTGAGTGAGTTGTTTGATAGTTATAATGGAAGATGAACTCGATTACACATATCTACCCTTCAATATAAAAGTAAACCCTAGTAAGTATTGAAATTAAATTTTAACAATAACTCTCATATTATCATTTTTAAAAATCTGACAATAACTCTAAATAAATTGTATTTTTAATTTTTAAACATCTCTTAAAAAGCCATTTACTGAAATTAATCTTTTAATAATCAATTACATTCTAAAACATTTTTATAAGGAAATTTTATCTTTTGGCCCTGTATCACTGTTTGATCATCTGTGTGTAAATGTAATATATATATATATATATATATATATAGAGAGAGAGAGAGAGAGAGAGAGAGAGAGAGAGAGAGAGAAAGGGAATGAGGGTAGGAGGGAGGAGATCAATCTTGATTGGGTTAGGGCTGGTTATGGTATTGGGAATTGCTATGTACATGAGGCTTTGGTAATTTTATATTGAATTTTGACTTTAACCTCTGTTTCATTTCATTTGTTCTCTTATTGAAGGGTTTTAATGCTTTGGTCAGCCTATTACTACAAATAATGAAGGAAACAAGGTTTGACCTAATATAAACTATGAAATCCTCACATTTCAAACAGGGTTTGACCTTATATTTTCTGAGTTTGTTTGTGTATTTTTGTTCCCGGGCCCTCAATACAAGCTCCTGATTGTTAACAGTACCATCTGTTTCAGCAATTATCATCTGAATTGCATTGCTGAGAGCTCCGTAAGCTTCATCAGCATTGCCAGATGGGCTAGCATCAGCAGAAGTTTGATCGGTTTGGCAGCCACTAATCAAAATGCCATTTTCAGGAAGTGCCCGCTTGCTTGCTCCTGCATAAACCTCTTGCTTGCTGGCCACTTCTGTTTCAAGCACAGGTTTTGCATAGCTTTCATCATTTTCATCAAGCTTTTGCTTCAGGAACTCCTGAGCCAGATTTCCAACCATCCCCAGAAACCCACTGCCTTCGTCCCCACATTATTTCCTTTTTTGCTCCCAACCCTCCTGTCACATTATTTCCTCTCCCACATGCACTTTATGATGAAATATTTTTTTTTTAATCCACCCACTCCTTCTCTCTCTGGTCCCTTTCTCTTTACTCATTATTCCCCTTGTTCCCCACTCTCTCAGTATATATATATATATCTATATATATAAAACCCATCAAAGAAGAACGATCAAAATCTGAGAAATTACTTCTACAGTTAAAACCAGCAAGCTTCAGCCATTGAAGAGCAAGCTCAGAAATTGTTGCCTCTCCCACTTGCGGCCTTGCCGCTGCTTCTAGCCACGGATCGCTTTGGTTTAGGCCTGCCCTATTCTCTGTTTCTTTTATGATGATGATGGGGACAGAAACAGACAAAAGAGAAAACAGCTTTCTCTATACCCCATGCCGTTAATGTTGTATGTCAATTTTCCAGTCATTTATGTAACGGATTTTTAACGAAAGGTTTACATTGATACAAATTGATAGTTCCAAGTGACAAAGTGTAGTATTTTTTAGTTAAAAGGGGTAGAGTGTGATAGTTCATGGTAGTAAAGTGTAATTTGACATTATAGTTAAAAGGGTATTTTCATCATTAAGGTCCAAATTAAAAAAATAAAATAATAGTAGATAAGGGGGGTTAAGTGTTATAAATTTTAGTTCCAGGGGAGTAAAGTGATATGCCACGATAGTTGGGGGGGGTAAAGTGTAATTTTCCTTTCATTATTCCATAGGAAAAAAAGCAAAGTTAAATAGCAGTAGTTGCAATATTTACATTACAGTCGCATTGTGCTTGGTTTTCTAATGGTGTAACAACTACACATAACTAGTCCATACTAGTTTGTATTTACATTTATCTACATATGTTGTGCCAGAAAAACAAGCACGTCTGTTATGACGTCATTGAAATAGAACTGTAAAATGCATATTGATTCCATAGGAATATGGGTCAGCTACCATAGATAAGAGGTGAAGTTTATAGATAGCTAGCTCTTAATGCTACATTGCATACAGATCAGGAGTAATGACACAAGCTGATTTTATTGGATAATTACGCTATGTCCTGCAGGTCACTGATAGCAGCCTACGTGCTAGTCCTCAATGGATATACAAATGTGTATCATTTGGAAGGCGGGCTTTATGCCTGGTTCAAAGAAGGATTACCTACAGATTCTGAAGAATGAAGGTCTATATCAAGGACAATGCTTCTATATAGACTCCATGTTTCACCCTTATTTATGTCAGGATTGGCTTTATTCATGTCCCTAAAATTCCTTTTTGTAAAAACTGACTTTTAATCATCTTTGGAGACTTCGGCATTTGAAATGGGGTTGACATGTTTTTACATAGCATTAAACCAGTTTGGCATGTATAATATAGCATTAAACCAATGTGTTTTTTCCTCTCTAAGCTATTCTGAATTTGGGCATTTTAGGACTTCATGAATTGACATTTATTAAATCTTATACCACCACAGCTTCATTCTAGAGAGTGGAATCAGCCCTCATATACTACAGAAAGTAAAATATAATGATTAAATTTCCATGACACATCCAATCATTCTTTATATTGTTGAAACAAATGAAAGTACTAAAACTGTCAAACTAGGGTCAAAAAGCAGCAAAAAAAGAATGCCACGAGTTACAAGATGAATACCTGATACATTAAGCTGTAAGCCTGTAACACAATTTAGATGATGATAAACTACAGTCTATATATATCAAGATTCCACTCACTCGTACGAAAATAAATAATAAGAGACCACAAATATGAAATACACAACGAATTTGACCTCTCAATATCCACCTCAAATGAGTATAAGGGAATATATATGCAATTACACTGGAAAACTAGCATCAAACAATGAAAACCGGTAACTAAATTGATAAATACCTCCTTTGTAAAATGATGATTAACACTCGCTTGATGTACTCATTCAGAAGCCAAAGATCTTTTGGGGGAATACTGATGTATGATTGGCCTTTTACAGCTCGAAGAGCAAGAGATTCTGCCAGATGAACCGAGACCAGAAAATCAACTGTTATTATGGCCTCAAGAGACGAAAGATCACATTGATAGACCAATAAATTAATTTCAGTTTGAGCAAAAAAATACGTGTTTTTCTCCCTTACTTAAGCCATCAAAGAAGTCTTTGCCATATCCAATGCACCCTTATAAGTTTGATTACCACCTATGAAACCGCTCATATGGACAAAGGTACAACCAGGGATTCCCGCCGCCTCAGAGAGCTCTCCATCTGTTAAACCCCTCCAGGGAGATGGTAGAGGTTTCCGACTTTCAAATTTATCAGGTGAGATTGCCACTGCCTGCACTCGCCAATTTTCACTCCTTTCATCCTGCAAAATAGCATATTTTATAGATAAACAGATCCAACTACAAATAAAAGTTAATAGGATACAGATATTTAAAGACCAAAGTAGTTAGGCACTGTTGAGAACTCAAAATTGTAGGAGAAAAAAAGAAAATACTTATGAATCATTTATCTTTCATTATCAAGAGTACTAGAAACCAGAAATACTTTACTCAACCAAGCACTGAGCATAACGTAACTTGTCTTAGTTGAGTTTTATCATTTTCTCGAAAGAAAAACAACCAATTGCATAAGACAAATGCTGACTTCTTAGTCATTTCTACTATTTTCATGGCATGTACACAGAGGGTTAGGTTCAATTAGTTCATAGAGAACAGCTCCTTTCCCCAATATTCTTTTCTGCAATACTAGTACTTGATATATATACACCCAAATGGAGAGAAATGAATTGGTAAAAGATAGACAATGAGGTACCTGTACCTGATAAATAACATATTTGATGGTAGGATCAATCTTCATTCCCTCCTCCAGATCGAATATGTGAAGCTTCCACTGTTGAGTACATCAACTCCGTTATAGGCTTTAAAATGACAGCTGAAATGAAACTAAATCTTATTTGTTCATCTGGAATAGATTCTGATTTATTAATTATTTTCTCATGTAAAAATTATAGGTTTACCTATTCAAAAGTCCAACCTCTCTCTCTCTCTCTCTCTCTCTCTCTCTTCTTTTTTTTAACAGATGAACACAAAAGCAAAAGGTTGGTCTAATAACATGTTGATTTCCTGAAAAATAACTAATAGGAACAAGAGTGCCACTGTTGAAATTTAATCTCCCTCAGATTCCAAGAACTCTAAACTCTAATATGAGTTGACAGCAGTGTTACCAAAAAACGCTGATACCCTAACGAATTATGTATTGGTACGCACGTTCCAAAATATGGTACACTTTCGTTCCAAAATAATAAATTTAGCGATCCGAAGCAATCTCAAAAGTTTTCCAATATATTTCCTTAAATGTTATATTAGAAGGGGAAAAAATCAAATATAATGAACTAAAATCGAAGGTGACTTAAGTTTTGACAAGACAAAAATTATATATATTTTATTGGATGCCTAATAGTTAAAAGAAAATTACTCTGGAAGTACCTTAAATTCTTAAAGGTAATATATACAAGTCTACCCCTATAGTACCACATTTTAGAGCATGTAGCGTGCCACATTCCTATTCCCGTTCCACGTACCGGAACGATCCACATTCTAGGTAACATAGGTTGACAGTCCCTACCCATCATCAGATTATCTAGGTGGCATTTTGGAAAAATTGTTGTGTCAATAAGCTAATTGCAGCAATAGCTTTCTGAGTATTCATCAAACTGAATCATAAATGAAATAGCAATCAACTCGAAAATGTGTCAAACTTTAACAATTATCATAGACCAATGTAAAGCACTTTTGACAGAAAGACAGCAAGAGAGAAGAATTAATTGAATGAGAGACTACTAACTAAAACAAGCAATTGACTTGACACTTACAGGGCAAGATCTAGTCAGCACCATAATTCCTCCACTGGAATCAATATCTTCCCTTGCTGCAAGACACTCCATAACAATTGATCGAGCTGGTAACCATGACTTTGCATGAAAATGAACACTCTAAGACAAAATGTTCACAAATTACTTTCATTACTACCACTGCAGTTAATGCCTCCCATGCTCCATTCTTAAATTTACAGGTTTATGTAAGGTTTAAATAAAAGACATGCTGTTATCTAGCAGATGGCTTGAGAAACAATTTTGTTAAGGAACTCCCCAAGAAAATTATACCTCGAGAAACTCACTCCCAGTGAGAGTCAATGCATGTTGAAAAGCCTCATTCTCTCTCTCAAGTGATTGATCAAGATCCACCCAGTCCAGATTCAATCGTCCTACTCTTGACGACAAGTTTGTATTATTCACATATCTTGGAGGCTGATCTGTGTCATATTGATTGGTGCCATTGTCAATAGCATCAACTGCCTGTTACCAGAAGCAACATTGCAAAAATAAAATTCTGTTAACATGACGATGCACAACACTTATCAAAAAGAAAATGACGATGCATAATGACATACAGAAAGACAACATCGGTCAAATGAGTATCTGAATAAAGACAACCAAAATCAGACATTAACTAGCCATGTCAAACAAACAAATGCTCATGTTTCTAGCTCTTCCATAGCGGTATCTCTCTAATAGTCAGGCCCTTAGAGGGAGCCTTCATGGATAAACAATGAGTAAATGTAATACAGGGAAACTCCAAATCAGCACCGCTGTTAACTGGAGTGGTATCTCATGCACAATTAGGTTCAAGTCCCACTTAAGTCAATTACTTGCAAATTTCACTGCTCTAAAGCTCGAGATGCCATGTTTTTCAGGAGTTTATTGTCTAAGAAAAGTAATAAGAAATGACATTCAGATATGTACAACCTTGTGGTAAGATAGCTTTGAGGTTGTACGACCTAAACAATTGATAGTACCATGAACAATCTACTACCTCTATAAAGTTTTTATAGACAGCAAGATAGAGTGGATATACATCTTGGTGTCCTTCATCAAGGTGAAGCTCCTTTGCAATTATCTCCAATCCATAATGCTAGCAAAATAAACAGAGAACAGAAAAAAGGTAGCATAAATGGCGAGCAAAAAACACAAAAAATACATTTTTAGAAAGAAATTTTTTTTTGAAAAAAACACATTATGCAAATTGAAGAAAATCATACTTTTTCTCTTCACAAGTTAAAACCTGAACATTACCAAATCAATATCATCAAGCAAGATGCCTTAAACTAAGGTAGTTAGAATGAAGGTGAGATGAAATGATTACTCCGTCAAATATTCAATCTCACTTTGATTTACCCAAAAAGAAAAAAGAAAAGAAATTGCATTGCAAATAGAACCGTCATTCATCAGGAATTTAAGAGGAATGGTCATTCCATGGAGAGGCTAAAGAATGACCATACACTCCATTCAACTTTCATTCTAATGAATCAAACACTATCTAGTAGTGAAGGCCAAAAAAGCTGAAATCTTTATGAATAGTTTGTGAGGGCATCTCCAATCCTTACCATTTACCCATGTCAAATTTCAATTGGAGTAAAAAGTGCTTAAAATCTTTCTCCATTCCTTGACTCAAACTCTTACCAGATTAAGTATTACTCAAATTTTGACCCAAATCAAAGGAGGCCTTTTTCTACTCAAATTTCTATAGGCAATTAGTGGTGTGATATTTCAGTTTCTAAATTTACAATTATGCCATTTACCAAACTTTTTCTCAAATTTGAGTTTGGCCATTGGAATACTCTATATCAAATGAAGCTTTTACTCAAATCTGAGTAAAAATATGACTAAGGGCAAAACTTCACCTTTTCTTTTATCAAATTGAAATGTGATGTAAAAGTGCTTAAAAATTGTCTCTAATCCTTTCATCAAATGTTCATCAAATCATGTGAGTCATTTTTTTCATCAAATTGAGAAATCATCAAATCCTTTGTCAAATTTGAAAATTTGATGAAAATTTAGAAAGACAAAGTATTGGGGATGATTTTTTATTTGTTCTTTTTTTTTTCTTCATCAAATTTGATGAAAATAAAAGAACATTGGATAAGAGGGGAATTTTCGAAAAGATTTTGATTAAAACTTGATAAAAGGATTGGACTGTTGATATCAAATTAAGCTTAAGAGAGTTGGAAGAAGTTGCGAATGTTGGGGACTCACCTTATAAACAAGGCCAGCGCTACTGAGTTTGGTGGTGAATCCATGGCCAAAAACCTCCTTAAAACCTTTCTGGTGATGATCGTAACGATCTCTGATCGGATCATACACGCCGCCAACATCAAGCACAGCATCAAGCGTGCCCAAAACCTTCAACACAATCAACGAATGTCAAACATCGATTCAAACCAATCACAAAAACAATTTATAGATAGAAACATGTAATTAGGGGAAAAACGTGGGGATCTCTGGTTCGAACGATTCGAGCGGCTGAGAACTTGTTGGTGAGGCGAATCAGAAAGCAGCCGAGAGCTTCGTCGCAGTGGAAGCTGCCGTCGTGAGTGCCCACTCGCTTGGTCGGCCAAGCAGCAGCATCAATGGCAGCGGTTGAAGAAGAAGAGAAAACCCTAGAGCTAGAGCTAGAGCTAATGGTGATGATAGGGCCGAGTTTTTGAAACACGGCGAGCTTGAGGCGGCTCAACCCTCCACCGAAGTACGCACCGTACATTTCTATATTCGGTTATTTCGAACAGTTTAACGCTCTGCTTTCCCGGCTACTTTTATTTCACTCAAAAACCTCGACTAGTCTCCTCTTAAAACTACCATTCTTAATAAATAAATAAATATATATGTATATATATAACAAATCTCTCTTAAAGATATTAAAAAAAAAATGGAATAAATTTTATAAATTTAACATAATTATTATTGTGTTTGTGGGTCGGATTCAAGTTAGTATGTCATTTATTACTTAACCGAACAGGATTTGATTTTAAAAAATTTCATTCATACCAAACAGGATTTTAATTTAAAAAATTTCATCCATAATTAATCAGTCATTGTTTTGAAATCCCCAGAGTGAGTTCAATGGACAGATTCAAATCAATTTGGCAGATTAAATCCAAATTTTACAAAATAAAATTCTAAATTTTTACTTTCTTTGAGTTGACCGTAGAATCAAGTAATTATCAAATCTAAAACATTAACCCTTAAAAGTGACCTCAAACCATTCTCTCTGCGGCCCAGGTCCTTGGCTGCTGATAAGTGTCCAAGCCATCCACCATCCACCAATGTCAAAGGCGACCATGAAATTTAGTCACAAATTTAAATAACAATTGACATGGAAGCTCAAGATGAAAAAATTTCAGCAGTTCACCAAGCATGCATCTCAAATCTCTATCATAAGTCTGGAAGCGGGGATCTGGGCAGTCTACAAAGGACTGATCATCCTACTTCAACATGGCATGACAAAGGTGATAGTAGAAACAGATGCTGAACAAGTCGTCAAATTTCTGAATGATGGCCCGGGAGAGAATTGCCCCTTCTGAGGGTTGATTGAAGATGCTAGAGTGATTATCAGAGGCTACGAGTGCACAGTCCAACACATACTTCGCAAGGAGAACTTTTGTGCGGATGCCATGGCCAAGTTTGGAGCAGAGCAACCAAACGAGCTCCTTGTGATGAATGAACCCCCAGCAGAACTGAGGAGCTTCTTGGTGGCTAACATGTTAGGATTCTCTAGGGAGTAGCTGTAGTTTTTTATTTCCGATGTACCCCCAAAAAAAAAATAAAATAAAAAAAAATCTCTATCACATATGATTCAAGTCATCTCAAAGATTGCACCCGGTATATATATTCCTAATTTGACAATAACGTCCGGCTCCTCTTGAGGATCATTCACAGTGTAACACACATCAGTGTTACTGCTAATAGCCTATAACAAAGCAATGATTATCGCTGTCATGTATCCCATATGAAATTAAGACAACAAAAAGCACAATTCATAATGATATTTAAACATCAAAAAGAGGTCCCTGGTACAAAGCCCATGTACAAAGACGCTCCTCTATACAACTCTTCAACAATTTTGTTCTAAAAAGGAGAATCACCGATGAACACAAATTCAATCTAAACCTTTTCAAGAAACATCATTCCGATGAGATGTCCTAGAAGTCAGATGCTCATCATAAGGAAAGTAATCTTCTATTCCTTTTTCACTAGACGGCATGCCAGTTAGATATCAAGAACTAGGAAGTTTCTGCTTGACGGTATATCGTGATTTCCTGCTGCTTAAAGTACCGACGGTCCTCTTCATCAACAAGAACAAGGTTCAAATAATACTTCACACTGAATTTGTTGTTAATGTTGCGATGCGTAGGTGTCAGTTCATATGGGCTAAGGAACAGCCTGATTGGAATTGATTCACCTGGAAAAGCAAGCACATTTTTTTCATCAAAATTTGCAAACATATAATATAACAGCTGTACGGTACTGTGAAGTATAAAAATGAAACGCACAAAGAGAAAACATACTAGAGAATTAGAGAAATTTATCTAATCTTCTAAGAAAAAACTAGGCAGACAATGGGTCAAGTGTGCTCCATGTCAAAAGTAAATCTGATTCAGAAAGAGAAATCAAGCTGACTTAGTCATCCAAAGAACCTGAGTGAGTAAGGTGGCAGACGAGAGAGAATATTTAGAAATGGTATTCTTCCCCGAAAAGAGATCCAAAAATGCGTACTCGTGGTGTGCTCACAAAAACCTTTGAAAAATCAGTTGCGCAAGACCTGTAGATGTTGTGTCCCATCCTAGTTGGTCAGGTATGTATGGGGAAAAAATGCTATGCCCTAATTAAATTCGGGTTGGGCTCTACGTTGCACGGACTCGTCAATTTTGGCAAAGTACCCATGTCGACATGACACGACATGGGTACGGGTACGAAATCCGGACGGGATACGGCATGAAAGAAGTGAATACGGCATATGGAAGTAAGAAGAAAGATGGCATACCTGCGATTAGGGCTACGAAAACTGCGATTAGAGCTTCGATCTTCTTCTCTCAATCTGCCTTCTTCTCTCTCTTCTCTCACTCTCTCTCGATCGTTCTCTTTGTCTCTCTCTTCTCTCGCTCTCGATCATCTTCGTCTCTCTCTTCTCTCTGTTTCGATCGACTTCATCTCTCCCTTCTCTCTATTTTCTTCTCTCACTCTTCTTTTTAATTAGTGTTTATCATATACAATATATATAATATAATTCATCATAACTAATATCTAATATTAATTATATCATATATAATATATCATAAATAATATAATGAGAGCAACTCCTTTTGTCTTCCAAGAAAAGATGTACTGGCTCTTGAAAGTAGTCACCAACAAGCTAATAAACTTTCACCTTTTCACCTACCAGTCAAAAATAAAAAAAAATCTAATAAAATCTATAAAATAGATTATCTATTTTTATTTATTTTAACATAATTTTTTATTCCTTATTTATTATATTTTTGTTATTTATAATATATATGTCA